CTAACACTTCTCTTTTTTGCATGTTGCATTGTTCAATTTTTCTTCCTTAGGTTTTTATAATATGTATTAACCAAATTTTGTCTGAGCTAACCTTCACAGAAAACTAATGTTTTTTATGTTCAATGTTACAAGTCACATCTATACACATACAGGTTCTTGAATGGCAGCCTCCGCTAGCCATTCAAAACTACAACCCTCTTATTCGAGGGCATTATTTCTTATATACAGAGCTTATCATTTGTTCAAGCGTAACCATCATTTTTGCAAGGTGTATGATATATTTACCCCTTTTAATATTATCATGCAAATGCACTTACTTACATCATCATATACATACATGCATTGAATAAATGCATTGCACCGTGGTAACCCGACAAAGACCTGTCCATGATCAGGCATCGGAGCCATCACTCTCAAAAGTTTCAAAAAGTTTTACCTGACAAAGTCCTATCTGTAGAAGGCATCGGGACCTTCGCTTTCTCAAAACCTTCAAAAACTTCACCCCTCGCATATTATATGAAAGGGAAAATTATCTACCGGACACCCAAAGTGGAGGTCGTCACTCTCAAAAGTTTCAAAAAGCTTTACCCGACAAAGTCCTATATGTAGAAGGCATCGGGACCTTCGCTTTCTCAAAACCTTCAAAAACTTCACCCCACCCGAGCCGGATCCAAATCTGCTCCGCTCAAGGGGATTGGACCAGGAGTGTTTGCGTCCGATTGGGCACGAGGTGTGGTGAGATTATGGTTTACAAGGAGAAGGAAACCTAGATCTCAGGTGACCTCAGTGAAGGCGGACGGGGAGGAGAGGAGTGGGGGGGCGATCGCCGTTGCCCGTCGGTGGCAAGGAGAAGGGGGTGAGACGACGAGCTGGATCCAGACCGTGTCACCTGTAGCTGACAGGTGGGCCTTATGATCAAGCGGTACTATGGCAGTGGCAGTAGCATCTAGCATGGGATGTCTGCAATGGTTACAGCTTTACAACCTGGGGAATGGAGGTGAATCCTGAGGTAAACTCCAATTACCTCCATTGGTAGGGAGAGAGGAAGAAGAAAGCGGCAGGGGCAAGAATGTTATTTCACAGCTGTTCTCTCTTCTCAACCAGTGGAAATGAATAAAATAAGAGGCACGGTGTTCAACAGCATAATTATCAGTAACGAGAGTGTCTTTCAGCAAATTGCTCAATTTTGGGTGTTCGCCAGCCAACGACCTCCACTTTGGGTGTCCGGTAGACAATTTTCTCTATATGAAATGACTAGCCATCTTTTGCAGCTAGTAGAAAGCCAGTGTCTTTCTGAGTGTCGAAATACTTGCCAGCAAGTCGATATTCGACGAAGCCATAACGCCCAACCTAAGTCCCTAAAAAATACATGAGATCAATTCAGGTGCATTTTCACGCGACTTCTCCGGCCTTCGGCATGCAGCGTCGGCGCCTACATTGGCATTGCCTTCGGCATGACGAGCTTCGCCACCATCTTCAGCGACTTCACCAACATCGCCTCCGTCAAAACACCTTTTTTCAGGAGCGCCTTCGCCATCACCTTCGGCATCTACACCAACCTCGCCTCCGCCAAACATCTTTGCAGGAGGGTCTTCGCAAACAGCCATGGCGAACCAGGATGACTCGCCTCCACTAATACATCGTCATGAGGGGTCTTCACCGACACCTTCGTGAAAGCTCTAGTTTGGTTTTGGTTAATTGATGAAACCCTAAGTGCTAACCTAGTTTATCAAAGTGATTGTGAGATATGTAGCACTACTCCAAGTGATGAAGCAATGGCGAAGATCATGACGATGATGATGACATGATGATGATAAAATGCTTGAACTTGGAAAAGAAGAAAGAGAAAAATAAAAGGCTCAAGGCAAAGGTACAAATAATACGAGCCATTTTGTTTCAGTGATCAAGACACTTAGCGAGTATGATCACATTTAGGTTAGATAACCATACTATTAAGAGGGGTGAAACTCGTATTGAAATACGGTTATCAAAATGCCAGTAGATGCTCTAACTCATTGTATATGCATTTAGGATCTAATTGAGTGCTAACATCCTTGAAAATGTTTGTGAAAATATGCTAACACATGTGCACAAGGTGATACACTTGGTGGTTGGCACATTTGAGCAAGGGTTAGAAATTTCACCGACGCCCTAGACAGAAAACATGAAGATCGCTGTAAGTGACTGGACGTTGGTCTCAGTTGAACCGGCGCGTTCGGTCAGTAGCAGCAGTGAGCGCGTGGTCTCAGTCTTCGACCGGACACTGGCGCTAAAAGTGAGTATATCAAGACCAACGACCTCCGATGACGCTTGCTAAATGAATGTTCTCCAATGCTATGCTATGCTTCATAGCCACTGTGTTTTGTGGAAGATAGCATGCACAAAGAAGTCTAATATTTTTTGTCGGATACAAAAGTTGTTACGCGTGCACCAAATTATCTACTAATATTGTTTTTTTCATCAATTCTAAAGTATTTGTTTTGAGGATGGAGGGAGCAAAACGTAGGTGGGTTGACGTATGCTTGGAGTTCGGACCTGTCACTTTGGCGTGTTTGACTCATGACTCATTAGCGACGCATGCTCAGTTGTTCAGAGTTCAGACCCTAAAAAGACCACCAAAGCCTCTTACGTTTTCTGTTCCGCGAGCATGACACGACCGCGCGGCCAGAGTTTTTTTTAAAGCTATTCGTACACACACGTCCACTTAACACACGCACACTACTCACACCATCCGTATACAAACAAACCTATAACTACATCCAGATTTCTTTTTGAGATCACAGCACGGGCTAGAGTTTGTACGAAGTAATTCACCACGATGGCGCCGTTCGGGCGGTTCGGCTGCACTGAAAACCAACTGAAAGTAAGTGTTCACGGCTGAAAATCACTATTTATGCTCTCACAAATTCCTCCAAATTTCTATAAGCGAACAGGACCGATATACGATATACAATGAAGGACCACGATGCGTACTGCGTTCATTCACTAGCCATAAGTACAGTAGTACAATTAGTGGTGTTTAACTAAAATTTAAAGGTGTCACGTGGGAGTGTTTGGATAGTAATAATAAAACAAATTACATAAGTTCTCAGTAATCCGCGAGACGAATTTATTAAGTCTAATTAATCCATCATTAGCACATGTTTAATGTAGCACCACATTATCAAATCATGGACTAATTAAGCTTAAAAAATTTATCTCGCAAAATAGTCCCAATCTGTGAATTTGTTATTTTTTAATCTATATTTAATACTCCATATATGTATCAAATATATGATATAATAGGGACTAAACTTTAGAAAGAGAAACTACACCAGACCCAAGTCGTCGTCGGCCCCTCTCAGCTCTTTTACCCACTACTGGAGATCAAAGGTATCCCTGTCGGTTACCACACGAAGAAGCAACTTTCTTTTGTTAACCATGACATAGGAAATGTTTTAGTCTAGAGCCAGTTTGATAGCAGTACTAATGGTTAATTTTACGTAAAGTTTAGGTAAGGCTGTCCAAACAGAAAATAATGAATGCACTACTAATTTTTAATTCATAAGGCACAATAGCTATTTTAGTACCTCAACTATTACTCGATGCTTAATTTCATTCCTAAACTTTCAAAACGGTCATTTAAGTCCTTAAACTTTAGTTTTGGGCTAATTTCATCCTACAACTACGAAGATGATCGCTTTAGTCTTCAAATTTTGTATTTTGGACTCAATTTCATCCATAACTATCAAAGTACATTTAACTCTTATTTTCAACTCAATTTTGTCTATTCAAAAAGAAAACTTTATATTTTAGATACAATTTCATCCATAAATTATCAAAATTATAGATCTTCTATTGCTTCAATATATCCATGTATTCTTAAAGAATAAATAGTGTTCGATGCAACTATAATTGCTACCACAAATATCATTTAGTCGGATATATGTAAATTGTACCATTATAAGGTAACATTAAAAATTATAGCCTGGAATTATTAATGGCCACGAAAGAGTTTTTGGATGAATATTATTTTTCTATCTTCAATCGTTGGTGGTGTTGGAGCTAACCAGGTGCAACAGTGCAGCGTTCCACATAGAATGTAGACAAAGTTGAGTTAAAAATAAAAGTTTAAATAACAGAAAACACTTTGGTAGTTTATAAATGAAATTGAGCCTAAAATGCAAAGTTTGAGGACTATAATAATCATCTTCATAGTTTTAGGATGAAATTGAGTCTAAAGGTAGAGTTTGAAGACTAAAACGGCCGTTTTGAAAGTTCAGGGACGAAACTGAGCCTCGAGTAATAGTTGAGGGACCAAAATGATTATGGTGCCAATTCATAATATCATAACCCGTAACTAGTTGTACTACTAATCTCAAGTGATTCAAAGAAATACAGATCACTGAACTAGCAATCAGCAACTAAAAAGTGGTCCTAGTTCAACAAATATGTAAACTAATACATAAACTAATTTTTAGTTCATATCCAGCTAATAACGAGTCCACAAGTCAGTAAAGAAGAGCTAATAGAACTACTTTTTTCGAATAGCCAACAGAACTAACAACAAAACATACAGGACACATACTAACAGAGAACAAGAAGAGCATTACTGTAGTTCCTAAAAACGAGTCCATAAAACTTTTAGACAAGGAATCCAAACCTCACCTAACTAAACATTACTGTAGTTCCTATCAAACTAACAACTGTTGTTAGTCAATCAAACACAGACTGACAGACATACCCAGTGAACTTTTACAGCGAGCATCACATTTTCACTCGGAGCCAAAACCCTCCCAACGCCCAGTACAGCGGCCACCAACCTTTTCACACTCCACAGTCACTCTGTCTGTCTCCCCCACTCATTAAATACACCCGCACGAGCCCCACCACACTCTCACTGTCTCACGACACTCCACACTCCCAGCAAGCTAGAGAGCTCTCACTCTCACTCCGCTGCTCCGCGTGAGCGACGCCCAGTGCCTGCGACCGAGGCAGGGGGACCAGGCGACCGACCAGCCATGGCAGCAACAACGGCAATGCGCGCCGTGGCCGTGTCCGCAGCCGCGCTGCTCGTCGTGGCGTCCTTGGGCAGCGTCGCGTCGGCGGCGACGCTGGCGCTGTACAACCGGTGCGGGGAGACGGTGTGGCCAGGCATCCAGCCAAGCGCGGGGAAGGAACTCCTGGCGCGCGGCGGTCTACAGCTAGCCCCAGGCCACTCGACGTCGATCCGTCTGCCCGCGGGATGGTCGGGGCGCGTGTGGGGCCGTCAGGGCTGCGCCTTCGACGCGTCGGGGCGCGGGCGCTGCGCCACGGGCGACTGCGGCGGCGCGTTCTACTGCAACGGCGCCGGCGGCGCGCCGCCCGCCACGCTGGCGGAGATCACCCTGGGGACCACGCCCACGGCGCAGGACTTCTACGACGTGAGCCTGGTGGACGGGTACAACGTCCCCATCGCGATGACGCCGGTCCACGGTTCCGGCGCAAACTGCGTGCCGGCCGGGTGCGTGAGCGACCTCAACCGCGTGTGCCCCGCGGGGCTGGCCGTCCGAGGCGCCGGCGGCGAGGGCGGGAGAGGCCGCGTGGTCGGGTGCCGCAGCGCCTGCGCCGCTTACGGCGCGCCGCAGTACTGCTGCACGGGGCAGTTTGGGAGTCCACAGCAGTGCAAGCCCACGGCGTACTCGCGGCTGTTCAAGTCGGCGTGCCCCAAGGCGTACTCGTACGCCTACGATGACCCGACCTCCATCCTCACCTGCTCCGCCGGCGCATCCTACGTCGTCACCTTCTGCCCGCACCACCGCTGAGCTGATGATAGTCCCAGTCCCAGTCCCCATTCACAGAAGACAAACATTAATGGTTTTGCTGTAGCCTGAGGCTGCTGTTCTTGTTTTTTTTTTTGTCTTCCTTTTCCGATTAGTATCGTTTCGTTGCATCCTGTAGTATCGTGTCGTATGGTCGTAGTGTGATGAAAATCTGTGGTCTACCGCTGGTAGGCCGGGAGGAGGGTATATCAGTAATAATTCAGTATCAGTATATGGGGGAGGGTATATGCTCGGTGCAGCACTGCATTTCCCACTCTTAAACTTGATCTTCAGCCGCATGGCGTATTATCCTGCCTGCATTTGATATTTTGGTGGGTGTTTCTGGTTCTGGCGTGCGTTCGTTCATTTGCCTCCATCACGCTTCTTCAGATCTTCCTCCCTATAGGATCCATGGTGCAGCTGCACTCAGCAGCTCTACTGCTGCTGCTGCATTTTGAAAACCTGAGATCTGAAATCCACAGCCATTCTTCAGATCTGAATCGATGCATAGGCAAACCGCAAGCAGGCCGGGCAGGCTATCGGACACCGTCCGTAGCGTCGTGCAGTGCAGTGCAGCACGCAGCACGCGGCACGCCGCGTTGCTAGGGTAGGCCGCGTTTCGCCGCCACAGGGAGGGAGGCACCGCGTCCGCGAGGGCACGGACGGTCGGACCGGACGGACATTGGCCCTGTTCGCCTAGAATTTATCACACTAGCTTTTCAGTAAAATAACAACGTTTTTATCTCAAAACAAATCAGCTTCGTCGTTTTTTTTCCAGACAGCCAAATGGGTATCATAATTCCGAGGCTACTTTTCCTCTCAGCATGTGTGCTAGTACGGTCTCTGTCTATCTCGCTGTGGCTTTCACCGAGGCGACAGGCCGGAGATCCGGAGTCCATCGGATTCCGGCCGGCCGGTTCGTCTTGAGCCGCCGCCGCCGCGGCGTCCGGTTTCCCGCCGTCCACGGGCGAGATCCTGCCGGCACTCGTAGCTGCTGTAAAAAAGTACTGTACGGAGTAAAACAATTGTGGTTCAAATGGTTGGCAGCTCCACGCCTTGTTTAGATGCCATCCAAATTCTAAGTTTTTTCACTCTCTCTTCGTCACATCAATTTTTAGCCGCTTGCATAGAGTATTAAATGTAGGTAAAAAAAAACTAATTACACAGTTTAGTTGGAAATCACGAGATGAATCTTTTGAACCTAGTTAGTTCACGATTGGATAATATTTGCCAAATAAGACGAAAATGATACTATTGATCGGGTTCATTTTTTTTTTAAGTGAACGAGCCCCCAGATTTGAAATGGTTTTGAGCCCAACATTCTCCTGCTACTTCGGCGTTGCTTAATTCATTTTTAACCGTGATCTGATTCTCTGATAGGAGTAGGCATGTTTGGTTTGGTTGCTGCCAGAATGCCAGTTACCTCCCACTACTGCTTCTGGCGTTACTCCACTGCACCTACCACGGTGGCCGCCTGCCCGGCCGTGTGTACCGGTAGTAAACTTCGGATTCTCTGAGCAATGTGGAACGTGTCTGCCTCTGCCTAATGCCTTTGCTGGAGCTGGGCGAGTTGTGCTCCCAGGCCGTCGCCTCTTCTCATCCTGGTAGCTAGTTGGATGCTTGGATCTGAACATAACGCGAGCATGGTTAATAAGCCAGCCAGCAGCCGATGGTACGCTGAGCCATGTCATCTCAAGGCAGCATATGCAAATATGCGATTAATAAGCTGGCATTTAGGTTGGCTGTTAGTTTTCCTTTATTGAATACTTTATTTGCATGTGCATCTCATCTCTTATGGCTACATCTTTGTTGCCCCTTGCAATACCAGGCAAGAAAATAGATCTGGTGGGAGCATAGGATCCAAAGGAGGGGATGGGGGGCCATCAAAACAGCAGTTCTGTCGCTCGTACAGGATGGGAGCAGACGATTGTGTCTTGGGAAGTGCCCTTCAGCCGGACGACAAGGCTACCGCCCGCTTCCTTCTCTCTCATCTGTTCTCCCTCCTCCAGCTCAGATTCTGTTGACGTGGACTCCCTGGCCGCCGGCTTCCGGTCGATCGGTATACTTGCTCTTACGAGATCATCCTCCTTCCTCAAAAGGGCAGTACATTTCCCTGCTTTCGTCATCGCATTGCCAGCACACCTACGGCCTCCTACTTCGTGTTAACCTGGTCCAAAAGCAGCACGACACGTATAGAAAAAGGCAGGGAAAGAAAAGGTTCAGTTCAGAGGAGCACATGCATGCGTGATACCGCCATTCAAACTTTTTCTGAGCACGAAACATGTGCGTGGTGTACGGGTGTGGATCCGTGGGTTCAACTCAAACTTCAAGGTCCAAGTCCACCTACTGCTGCTGCAAAGCAAAGATGGGATCTATCCAACGACCTCGACCAGCTACCAGACCACACCGGCTTTGGTTCACGATCAGTCCGTTCATTTCGGCTGGATATAAGCCCGGGCTATAAAAGTACTGCTAACTAATTTAATGTGAGAGAAAAATATTATTTATTTGCTAATAAACTAAGTTAAAATTTATAAACCAGATTCGAGCTGCCGAACAGGCCGGATATCTTTTGTTAGATTTTTTTTTCTGGGTGCTCATGTGAACCGTGTGATCGTGCGTGCTGTCGCTGGGGCTCGAGGTTGTGCTTGCGATTGCGGCCTTGCGGAGTGGTCGAAACAGACGAGGCATGATGAGCTCGTGGCGGCAGGTAGGAGTACGTCCACCTCGCGCCTGCCCTGCGTCACATGTCCCGTCACTGTCTCGCATCCCATGGTCGATGGATCTGTTCCGAGCCAGGGGAGGAGAGGGCGACCAAAAACAGGCGCGCCACCGTCTCGCCATCCTTGCTCCCAGTCCCAGCCGGTTCTCAGCCTGCAGGAGTGCAGGGTGTGGATGAACAACACAAACGTGCCGCCATTCTTGAATGGAGTACTCGTCTCCCCTCTCCACTCAAGTGGGCATAGTTTCCAGCTAGGTTTGCCAATGATTTTTTTTTCGAAAAAAAACTCAAATATGTTAGAACTTAAAACTAAGTATAGGGATTTGGGATCCTGAGAACCAAGAACAAATGTCGATCTCTGATTTCACCACAGGAATTTCTCTATTAATTAGGGAATGTGAGGAGGAGAATTCTTTTTTCACGGGATTTAACTGAGGAAAAGATAGCCTCAATGGTTGTCATGGAGATTGGAGATGGTTCTCTGCCCTTTCCCCGATCTTCACTCCACTTTTTATATATAATATGCACGTGGATATCATTAGCATATATGATGTACTTGTTGTGTGCTGTGTGTTAGAGTATTAATGATGAACTATATATGTTCACCATAGTTTATCAGTTATGTACATATACTGAAAATAATCATTTGCTTTTATTTATGTTAAATTCAAATTGATATCCATATTCCGCGATATGTCGATATGGGGACGGGACCGGATCTCCCGAACGAAGTTTCATGGGGCAAGGACGACCATGGGGACCGATTCTCTCGAGTGAGTTTTCACGGGGACCGGAAGTCCAGGACGTGGGATGGGAGCGATTTTCGGAAGAGAAATACTTTGTTGCCATCTCTACGTGTGGGCATGTTTCTAGCTAGGTTGGCAAAGTTGGATTGTCTTTGCCTAAAATAGACCTTGCTTTGCCTAACTTGACATTTGCAGAGTTGGATATTTGGCCTGACAATCTCGTTCTCAAAGGTAAGAGGGTTCGGTGGTAGTAGCCCAACCTAGATATGACTAAGGGACTGATTAGTTTGCTCCCAAAATTTGCCATGCCAAAGTTTTGGCAAGCCATAATTTTGGCTAGTATTCGGTTTGCTACCAAATCTTACTAAACTCTCATATTCGTCTTGCTAAATCTATGACAATGTTTTTGTCCAACTTTTGGCTTACCAAATGTTTAGCATGGCAAAATTTGGACCTCAACCAAGCAGGCCCTAACTAAAGTCTCATGCCTAACGGTTTTGACTCATTGCTATCATGTTATGAGTTAAATCGAGGAACTCAAGATGTAGATCATCATATTCTAATGTTTTTCTAGTCCGTTTGTAGAATTCAACATTTTGAAGGATCCTTAGGTAAATTTAACTCATGGAATATTTTTGTTTCTCAACTCGAATGCGTAGATTCTCATAGGTTAGAGGGGTCAGGAAAGTGCCCAACCTAGATTTGACTAACTAGGGGCCAATTTGGCAGAGCTCCACTCTTAGCTTTTTTGGAGCAGACGCTTAAAATACAATTGAATTTTGGTGGGGAGTTAACAAAGTATCACTTCTCTATTTACACTACTAGCTGGAAGCTGAAAACCACTCTCCGCCGCTTCCCACTGCTACGCGTTCAATCGCCACTAGAATCATTTCAGAATTGTAGATTCTCAACTGCTCCTCATGTTGCTTTCCCAAATTCCCACTAAAATCATTTCATTGAAGAATCAAGAAGTGAAACTCCAATAAAAGAAGAAGACCTCTATCAAACTGGCCCTCAAGTATCATGCCAAACGGTTTTGACTCATTGAATGGAGGAATTCAATGTAGGGGATTCGATTCTTACATTTTTTTTTCTATTCTTGTGTTTCTAGAATGCAACATTTCAAAGGGATTCTTAAATACATTTAACTCATCGAATATTTTTGTTTCACAACTAGAATGTGTAGATTCTCAAATTTTGAAAGGGGTAGGTAGGATTGGATAATGAACCAGCTCGGCTCGTTATTGTTTGTTAGGATAATGAGCCGGCTTGGCTTGGTTAAGTAAACGAGCTAAAACTATAGCTTGCCTAGTCTCATTTAGCTCGCAAGCCAGCTTGTTAACAGCAACCAATGAATAAATCAATAGCTACTAATTTGTTCTATACATACATCAAGACAAATAAATAATAAATGTGTACATAGCACATATATATCGTAGACTCCAATCTAATGCATATAGAATAAAATCAAATCTAATTGTTTCTAGTTTAGGTTGTTGGACCATGAAATAGTTGGCTTGTTTAGCTCGTGAGCT